ATGATCCAATTTGGGGCTTTCTTGGCAGAGATACTGGAGTTGTTTGCCATTTCCTTCCCCAGCTCATTTTACAAATAATGAAACTGGGGCAAACAGGGTTATGTGACTTGCCCAGAGTCACAGAGCTGGTAAGTGTCTAAGGTCAGATTTGAACTCTAGAAGATGAGTCTTCCTGACTTCGGGTCTGACACACTATCCACTTCACCACCTACCTGCCCCATACATGTGCTATGGGGATTAATTTTTGTCCCAAAGTCCTCACATTATCACCTCAACAGTGTTTCACCTTTGAGGTGGGTTGGAGGGGCAGAGGAGTGACCTAAAAGTCCTAGGTAAAATCTATATGGATTTGTAATTCAGAAGATCTACAATAAAATCCCATCTTTTGTACTTATTAGCCATGGGACCCAAGGCAGCACACTTCAACTCTTTAGACCTCAGTGTCTTCCTCAATAAAAATAAATAAATTAATGAATAAATAAATGGGTTGACAGCAAAATGAATAAACTAGATAAATAAGTGAATAAGTGAATGAAAAAATAAACAAAGGAATAAATAAATAGATAAATAAATAAATAAGGGGATTGGGGACAGCTAGGTGGCAAAGTGGATAGAACTCCAGCCTTGGAGTCAGGAGGACATGAGTTCAAACCCGACCTCAGACACGTGACACTTACTAACGGGGCAAGTCACTTAACGCCCTTTGCCTCACCAAAAAGCAAAAAAAAAGGGGAGGGGGGCTGCTGGGGAATTGAACTTCTGAGGTCCTCCAAAAGTAGTCCTACAGGCCTGGAGCTAGGCTGGAGCCTGACCAACCTTTGATTTTGAGGTTATGGGAAGGGGAGATGAGATTCACAGGGGCATTTGTTTGCCCTCTGCCCTTAAAAGTATGCAAGTTGAATTCGATGTCCAAAAGAAGCCCTTTGTGCATGAATAGATGCCCATGTTATCCCCTGAGGGAGTTAGTTAACAAAGGTCACTGGAGTGATGGTAGATAGATAAATAAGAAAAGGACATTGCCCCTACTCATAGGAGTTTAGTAATAACAATGCTTATGGTCATATAGCACTTTAAAGTTTGCAACAACCCTGTTAAGTAAGCAATAATAAAAGTACTCAAGCGAAAGTATTAATTATCCCTAGTGTGGTATTGTCTAATGAACACCAGCTCAAAGTCAGAAGGCCTGGGTTCAAATTGCAGTCCTGCCCCATACCAGATGTATGACTTCAGGCAAGTCATTTCCCCCTCTCTGAACTTTGAGTTTCCCAATTTTTAAAATGAATGTGATAATATTTATGTTACCTACCTCGAAAAATTGTTGTGCATATCAAATGAGATCATTTATGTAACACTTGGTAAATATAAAATGCTATAAAAATGAAAGCTATTATTATTATTCCTTCCCACTCCACCTATGAGCTCTCCCTCTCCCTGCTGGGCAGCGTGGGGGAAGGAATGTCCAGCGCCTACACAGCAGTGACTGGCATAGAACCAGCACCAATACCACATTCCACACCCCCGGCTACCCTAGCTGTTGCCCAGTGGATCAGGGAGATCAAAGAGCCAAAGTCTGCCTTTCCCCTGCTCCTACTGTAATGACCTATGCACTGCAATCTCACAGACAGCCTATCCTAGACCTCACCCCAGATCTCTGGGAAGCATGTGGATTGTAGGATTTTTTCTAAATTGGGGAAGGCCCTTTCAGATCATTTGACCCAACATGGATAATAATTCAATAATCAAACATAACACTTCAGTTAACAGAAGGCTTTCCTCAGAAAAATCTTGTGAGATGGTAAGGTCAAATGTTATTTTCCCTAGCTTACAGATGAGAAAACTGAGGTTTCAGGAAAATAAAAGACTTGCCCAATACCCCTTCACTTTAATTGCCAGTGCTAGGACTCTGGCCCAGGACTACTGACTCCAAGTTCAGTGGTCTTTCCAGTATAGCTCTTCCATGGATACTACCTTTGTGAGGGGAGCCAAAAGCTGGTTTTCTTTGTCTAGGTCAATCCATAAAAATCTGACCAAAGGTGATAGAGCATAGAAGTAGGATCTTGAAGGAGGTGAGAAAGGGAAACTTCTAGCTTTAGATCTAATGATCTTAGAGCTTCACAAGAAAAAGGATAAACAAATAGTTGCAGGAAGGGGAGCAAGTCCCCTCTAGATAGGAAAGACTCCTTATTGGTTCTAATATATGCAATAGAAAGATAGCCAGCAGAGACACCTAGCCCTTACCCCTTAGCTCCAAGTATAAGCAGTACCATGATAGCCTTTTGCTGGCTGTTGAAATGAATCTATCCTTCAGTGGGGTATGTATATGGAAAAGACAGAGAAAGCAGGGCAAGGAGTAGGAGGACACCTTCCCAGAATTTCATTTTCTCAGCTCCTCAAGGCAGCATGGTGAACTGGAAAAAAGTTCCTGATCCTCAGTCCAAGGTCCTGGATTCAAATCCCAGCTCTTCCACTTAACTAGCTATATCATTGCAAGTTATTGATCCCCACAAATACTCAAGTCTCTGACCCATACAATTGGAAGGAAGGTGATCTTAAGTGTCTATTCCAGCTCTAAATCTACTGTCTTAATCCCCTGCGCAGTTAATGTGATGGAGAAGGAAGGGGATTGGGAATTCCTATGCAGGAATAGACAGACAGACAGATAATAGTGGGACAGCAGATGGAAGAGCTAATTAGTAATAGAAGAGTCTGAGAAATGGATCCCACGTGACTTCTTGCCCCCCAAACCCATTCCCTACACATCCTCCCTCACACAGCCTGGCCTTCCCTCTCCTTCACACAATTCAGAAAAGATGGTGCCCAAGTACCTTCCCAACTCAAAAATGAGAAGACTTAAAATATGCCTCGTCATCCAGCTAGGCTCTCCCCTTTTGACAGTCAGTTTCCTCCCACACATGAAGTTCTGTCCCTATCCCCTGAAAGAACAGCCTCTTTTTCCTTACACTCTTCTAAACATATAGCTGACTCCACTCCAGCCTGTCCCACTTTCCTTCACATAGGTCAGCTTTTTCTCTCCTCCATACCCACTGCAGTCCAACCCCTCCTCTGCCACACACAGCCTGGCCCCTCCCACCTGATCTCGCAGGCCCTGCCCCTTCATTTAGCTGAGTCTTTCCACCCATCCTAATCTCAGAAATTTTAGAAATGTTTGACCATCAAAGAACCCCTGTGAGAAAGATGCTGAGACAGGGGATAGATTTGAAGCTTCAAGATCTTCCATGTCAATGGAAGTATGAGTATCCATAAACATTCAGGTACTCGGCCACACTTATCAACCCAAAGACTGGTCAGTAGCTCAGAAATGCCTGAAAGAAATTCTCGAAAACCACCCAAAAGTATTTGAACTTTTTAAGGGACTTTTCAAGGTAGATTGAACAGAGGTACTAAGAAATTAAAGCACCACGCCAAAGTTAGAAAAAGACAATGGAAGCACCTCTCAATATCTGATATCTTTCAATGCTCTGAGAGATAACATCACAAAGACATTGAAGGACCAGAAACCCTGAGAAAACAGGTGATAAGAGCCAAAAGCATGCAATTACAAGGACACTGAAAGAAAATCTGGCAGAGATACTAGAGGATTACTGAGATATTAAGGCATCTTCACAAAAGCATTGGATAATGTCATGGAAGTCATAGAGACAAATCACATTACTTGCCATAGAGGAAAGAGCATTGTTCCATCATCTAACTAGTTGTTCAACCTTTGGCAAGTCATGATCTTTCTGGTTTTCAGTTTCTTCACCTGAAGAATAAGGGGATTGGGCCAGTTTATTGATATCTATAAGGATCTACAAGGATTGATACCTACACAGGATGACTCTAAAATTCAGAAATTTTCTCATCTTTAGAGACTAAATCTCCACACTGAATTCAGTGTAGCCTTTCCAAAGCTGCTTGAAGACCCTTCCTCAAGACACTTGATCATGAGAATCCATAAACCTTCCCTTGGGATTCATTCTTCTATTAGAGACCCAGGACTGTTGGGCCACAAGTGTATAGGTTCTTTCTGCCTATCCCTTCTACCTTTTCCAAGATGTTTTAGTTTTTGTCCATCTAGGGACAGAAGATGTCTAAAAGCCCTTCCTAGGTACTTCAGTTAACTCACCCAGGAACATGAAAGGGCTTCCTGTCAGGATAGGATGGAGGAGCTCTTCAAAGACAGGCCAGAAAAAAATACAAGGGCACAGGCCTCCCAGAGAGATTATAGCAGGAGAAATTGGAAGAGGGAATTGGATTTAAAAGGAACTTGGGCCCCTGTAGTGAGAACGATTTGGGAAGATGCTTGGATAGAGATGCGTTGAGGATACAGCTGCTCTGGGAGAGTTAGTTTCTGAGATAAGACAACACTGTATGGGGGCTTGTTGGGGAAGGGGGAGTCTGTCAAGGGTAGTAAACTGTTGCTGGGCTGGTGCCTACTAGGGGCACTGACTATTGGAGAGGAAGGGTCTAGGGAGGTTTGTTTATCGTTAGAAAGGGGACTATAGTAGCTAGTTATTCTTTTTGGAAAGCGGCTGAGGACACTGATTGTTGGTGGGTAGGGCCCCGAAGCTGCCGGGACACCAGTTCTAGAACCTGGACAACAGGGTGGGATGGTAGAGCTGGCTTAGCCTGGGCCAGTGGGCACGCCCTGCCCAAGGCTGCAGTGCCCGCTCTCTCCAGCTGGCCCCGGGCCCCACCCGACCCCCTCCCGCTGCTTCGGGCCGACGTGGAGTGCGCCCCAAGCCCCGCTGCTGAGCCAAGCTGCCTCCCTCAGCTCCACACCCGAGCCCGGCCGGCTGAGCTCCCGAGGGAGCAGGCGGAACGCACCACGCTAGCAGGAGGGGTGGGGGGAATAGAACGAGGGGGGGAGCGAGGAATGCGGCAGCCTGTTCCCCCCCCCTCCGCCTGGCCCAGCCCCCTGTCACCCCCCCCCCCTCCGCCGCCAGCCGAATGGTCTGCTCCGAGCGCCCTATTTAATCCCCGCGACTGCAGCAGCGCCGGCTCCCTCCCCGTCCCCGCCTCGGCCCCGGGCTCCGTTGCGGCTCGGGGACGCTCTTTCCGCTAAGACCGTCATCGGACCCCCCCTCCCTCCTCCGCCCCTCCTCCCTGCCTCGGGGGACCCAGGCTCGCCAGCGCCCAGCCAGGGAGCCGGCCGGGAAGCGCGATGGGGGCACCCACCGCCCTGCCCCTGCTACTGCTGCTCGCCTGCTGCTGTGCGCCCGGCGGGGCCAACCTCTCCCAGGACGGTGAGTGAGGGAGGGGGCGGCAGGGGGTGGGGGGGGAGGAAGGGGCGGGGAGGAACCCAGGAAGGGAGTGGAGAGCCTGTTGGCTTTGTTAGGTACCCAGGGTTATAAGTAGCCAGCTGATGCTGTTATCCTTGTGTCTGCCTTGTCTCTTTGGGCATCTCTCTCTGTGCATCTCGGGGGGTGTGTGCATCCCGGGGCGTAAAGGTGTGTGCCTCCCCAGTGTTCGTATTTCGAAATCTATATCTGCCTGTAGAGCCCAATGTTTCTATTTCTGGGTTTCTTCTATTGCTGTGTGCGTGTGTTGGTGTCCGTGTGTGTATCTGGGTGTGTGTGTCTGTGTTGGTGTCTGGTTCTGCGTCTCTGTGTCAGTGTCTGTGTCGGGGTGTGTTGGGGGCGGGGTGAATTTCCGTCAGTGTGTTTTCTGTTAGGGTGTATGTCGTGTGTCAGGGTGTTGTGTCTGTGTGTCTGTATGTGTATCTGTAGGGGCTGAGTGGCCAGTAAGATTCCCCGGACTGCTGTATGCAAACATCACCACCACCACCACCACCACCGCTTACTCTCTCCCCCTCCCCGTCCCTGCCGCCGGGCAGGCAAGGGAGGGGGACAGGGCGAGGCTGTAGAGGGGGGCGTGGGGGAAGGAAGGGGGAGCCTCTTCACGAACCAAAACAACAACACGGGGGCTAGGGATGGGGGGACTCTTGGGACCCAAGAATGCAACATCACCTGGCCGAGGCAAAGGCTGTTAATAGGAAATCCAGACAAGAGGTCAGATCTTACTCATAACGAGGCAAGGATCGCAGATAAAAGGGGTTGTGAAAGATCTGAGAGCCTAGGGATTGCTGGAAAGCCCAGGACTCCGTTGGGTTAGAGATGGCATTGATTCCTTCCTTTCCACAGAACTTAGGTAGCTCCCTATTAGTCTGGTGATCCAAACCTCATTCGGGTGATCGAGGGAAGCAAAAGAAAGCAGATGAACCTGAGGTTGTGGGAAGGGGATCCGCGGGGAGGAGGAGGAAGAAGGGGAGGCTGTCCAGGGGCGAAGGTACGTGGAGAAAGGCCCCTCCCGCTCTGGGGCCGGGCTATGTAGGTCAACTTGGCGAGGACCGCTGGGCGGTCTGAAAGCCACGGTTAATAGGGAGATGGGGGTAACTACGGCGTAGGGATGCCCATTTGGCGGCGGCGGGGGGGGGGGTGGTTGGGAGGTATACGGTCTCTGAAAGGAAGGTGGCCTGAGAAGGTAGTAAAGGAACGCATCGTCTTCCCCTCCATCCCCATAATGGCGGGGGGGGGGGGATGGAGAAGGGAGAGAATTGTGGAGAAGGGAGGAGAACTGGACCGCAGCGGAGCCCAGGGATGGAGGGGGGGGGGACCGCTGTGCCAGGCCAGATGCCAGCGAAGAGCAGAGGGAACCGCAGGGGAGGAGACAGTCCAAGCTACTGCTGGACTTCGGACCGGATGGCCGGTGGGGCTGGGCACAGGGCGGGGCAGCGAGGTGGGGAGTAAGAGGGGTAGTTAGAGGTTGGGGCGGGGGGGGGGAAGAGAGAGAGAGAGGGAGAGAAGAGAAAGAAATAAAAGAGCCCAGGGGAATGTGTAAGAATACTGAGGATCGGTCTGTTTCTGGTCCCGCCTCTTCTTGCACCCTCCCCCAGCCCCGCCTTCATCTTGATGAAGGCGCTTCCCCCTGTCCGGGGACCCCGGGGAATCCCCTCCCAGCAGCTGCCTGCCTGACTGGTTGGCTTGTTCCGCCCCTCTTATCCCCAGCCCTCCCCAAAGGCAGCTCTAGCCTCAGTTACCAGAGAGACACCAGTTCCTCCCAAAAGGGGAGCACCCCCTCCCAGTTCTTTCCCTTCCTCTGGAGAGCTACACTAGCAACCCCAGACCTAACTTGGAAAGGAAAAAGGGCAGTCAGGAGAAGCCCACGTCTAGAACTGCAGCCTACGATATTCTTATTTGCTGGGCCCTGATTGTAAAACAGCAGCAGCCCTTAGGCTCACCATTTATTTAGCCTATTCTACTATTAAGGGCCTGGTCTGGGCAAGTGACCAGGTATGACTGAGTACGGAAATCATCTGATATAGGGGTTTTTCACTCATCAAGGAGGGGAGCAAATGGAGTGACAGGAAGTATTAAATTTTCTACAATTAAATCTAGAGGTAAATGGGACTCTAAATCATTTCTTCTCTCTTATTTTGTACTGAGGAAAGCCACTTTCGAGAGGGAAGTATATAGAGCAGGATTTTGAGTTAGGAACATCTGAATCCAAATGTCCTGCCTCTGATACTTACTAGCTATAAAACCCTGGGCAAGTCACTTCACCACTGTGAGCCTCAGTTTCTTCATCTGTAAAATGAGTGAACTAATAGCAGCAGTCTCCCGGGGTTGCTGTGAGAATGAGATGAGATAGCACTTGTAAAGCACTTTGCAAACATTAAAGTATTCTATAAATGATAACTATTTATCACGATTGTTGTATTGGTATCCTACTTTCCTGCTCCTGCTGTCAATGGCTTTGGTCTCTGCTCAACCTTTATACTGAGCAGGGAGAAAAATGTCCCTTCCCCAGAATAGCTTTATTTGCTGTTTTGGTATATGGGTATTCTCCAAGGTGTTTTTGTTTGTTTTATTTTTATGAACAGGATGCAAAATGAAGCACTTTTCTTTACTAGTGTGGCATTCATTTCATCATATGCATTGGGCAAGTGAAGTACCTAACACTGGCTAAGCTGAAGATAAGAACTAATATAGGGTAGAAGAGTTAAGCAGTGCCAGAAATATAGGGAATTAATGCTTAGGGACTTGCTACCTTTTCCCTGGAGACTCTGAGGGAGGTGGGGCAAAATAAAGTATAGAAGAAGAGGTTATGAATTTAAATGTCTATTTTCTGGATAAAGTGTATGTGTGTATGTATGGCAGGAGGAGATCTTAAAGAAAACAGCCCTGACCCCAACTCAAAAATAGTTAAGAGCAACCATAATCTTGTGTTAAATAATTAATTCTTCTTTAACCTATCTAGGCCTCAATTTCCTCATATCTAAAAGGAGGGAATTGGACTATGTGGCCTCTAAGGTCCTTCCAGCTCTTACTCATTTTTATTCTTCTTATTCTTCCCTCCCAGCTTCCCAGTCCTTTAATTTCTTTAGGTCCATCCCACCACCACCATCATTGTGATCAGCATCACCACAACAACAATAACAATATCTGCATAAACTTCCATAGCCAAAAGAATTAGCAATGTTGTTGAGAAAAAGTGGGAGAGGAGCAGGTGGCAAGCTGCCTGTTACGTTGGTGTTTATATAGGTTGGGGTAGAAGAAGTGTGTCTCTCTGGAATCCTAAGGGCAAACATTGAAGCTTCTCTGGCCTTGACTACTCCCTAGGGAGGCCATTTTTAAGCTTGAAAGGCTGAGCAGGGGTTAGTGGTTGGCAATGACAAGACATTTCTGAAACTGACCATGGTGTTAAGTGTAAATGCTAAGGATTACTAGGGTATTCCAAGATTTTCACCCGTCTCCTCCCCTCCACCTCAAAACTGCAGGATTGGCACTGTCAGTCCCCTTGAAGTTGCCATCACTTCTCTGGAGCTGCCCCCGAGGCTCAGCATTGTATCTGAGTTCCTTCTCTCTAGAATGTCTCTAACAGGTTGTGAGCTGATCTGGGGAAGAAATAAATAGTATGGAGGGCCTCCTGTTAACTTGGTTCAGGGTTCAAAGAAGCAACTCTACCTTATGCTGCACTGCTCCCTGCACCACCTTTCTCCCAGCTTGCTGACCTTCTGTCCATTCTGCAGCTCTCTGGCCAGGTTCCCAGTGTGGAGAACATGCCCAGTGCGCAAGGGTGGGCCCAGTCAGCCCTGCCCACAGAGCTATTTGGCAGCACTTCACCACCCTGTTTCTGTCTCTTGTCATAGGCACAGCCCCTGGAGGACGATCTTCCCACTCATTGGATGCAGGAGAAGTATTACTTAGAATAGGCAAGATGAGAATTGAACAAGGATCCTCTCTATATCAGGGGCCTAGTTTGACCCAGTAGAACCAGCCTTTCTGGTATGGACTGCCCTGTGGGGGGCCAGGGATACATGTTGTGGAATGCCAGTTGTATTGCCAAAAGCTGTGATGCAAATCCTATCATAACTTCTTCTTGAAGGCAGGCAGAACTGTTGACTTTCATGATTTCCACAAGGCTGATGGTCAAAGCAGACAGATGGAAAATTATATATGTGCTTTGTGCCTTACTCCCTTCAGACTTTCTCCCAAGTCCTTCTGGTACAGAAGTTCTAAGCCCAAAACCAAGGCTACCTCTTCATATAACTAGATTAGTTCCTAGGTAATCTTTGACCACAAATAAGTCCCGTCTTTATGCATTGGTCACTGAAAAACAGCTGACTAGGCAAGTACACTTCTACCTGCTTCTTAGGCATATTTGCTCCACAAGTTCCTAAATGAGTTATTAGTCTCCTCTCGATCAGAGCAGCCAGGAGAACATGTGAAGCCAAACCTGGAGTCACCTCCTCCTTGGCCATACTCTAGAGAGAATCTTTACAACCCTCCCTAGAGGATTTAAACACCTGGGGCTTTGATGGATAGCATGATTCTTTGCTATTTCCCAGTTCACTTCAGCTCTCCCTCCTCTGTCACCTCAACTATGATAAAAATTTCAGCTGAGGATAATAATCCAGTTGCAAATTTCTCTTCACCCCTTGAATGCAGGGCCTGGGCTGGGTCAGTTCCATGCTGATTGATAATAACCTTAAGGGCACATTCAGAGCTTGGAAAATGCTTTCCATTCATATCTTCTTGATATTTGTCACTTCCTGCTTAATTCTTGGCTACAGGCCTTCTGTTCATAAGACTTCCAGTCAATAATAAGCAACAACTGATTTTAGTGTCAGGGTTGGTGTCACACTAGTTTTAGGGAAATCAGCTGCTTCTATAGACTCTTATTAATATCCTTGTTTTTAAATCACCCAGATTCACCCATGTCCTTTCCCCTCCCCCTTCCCAGA